CTTCATGGATCCTTTACCGAGAATGTATATAGTCAGTAGCCTCCTGGGTTTGTTCATCCTAAATTCCCAAACCATGTTTGCAAGCTGCATAAGGCCATCTATAGCCTCAAACAAGCCCCTCGTGCTTGGTTTGCTTGCCTCAATGCTCGTCTATCTGAACTTGATTTTTACTCTTCTTAGTAAGATACTTCTCTATTCATCTACCACAACTCCCATTGCACTATCTATGTTTTAATTTATGTTGATGACATAATTGTTACTAGGTCCTCTACTAATGCTATTAACAATCTGATCACTGCTCTTGGTATCTCTTTTCCTGTCAAGAATCTCAGTAAATTGCACTATTTTTTGGGTGTTAAGGTGCTTCCTTCCACCTCTCGTCTTGTTCTTTCTCAACGCAAATACATTCTCGACCTTCTTGAGAAAGCCAACATGTCCAACGCTCGACTAGTATCAACACCTATAGCCTCGGGTTCTATTCTCACTACCTCCCTTGGTCCTAATTATCCCTATCCTCACCACTATCGAAAAATTGTTGGCACCCTTTAGTATTTAAGTTTTACCAGGCTGGATATCACCTTTGTCGTCATCCGTGTTTGTCAATTTATGCACCACCCAAAGGAGCACCACTAGACAGCTGTCAAACGCATCTTACGGTACCCTAGAGGAACCTCTCATTATGCTCTGCATATCAAGTCTTCCTCATCCCTCACCTTTTTTGCCTTTTCAGATGTTGATTGGAGTGGCAACCCAGACGATTGCCGGTCCACAAGGGCTTTTGCTATCTATCTTGGTCCTAATCTCATTGCTTAGAGTTCAAGAAAACAAGCCTCTGTCGCTTGCTCAAGTACTGAGGCTGAGTATAAAGCCATTGCCACCACTGCAAGTAAAGTTATCTGGGTGCAAAATCTGCTATATGAGCTTGGGATTTACCTTCCTGATGCACCTTTTCTCTACTATGACAATTTGGGTGCTACCTACCTTGTTGCCAATCCTATCTTTCACTCCAGGGCCAAACGTATTTCCTTGGATTATCATTTTGTCCATGAATGCCTCACTTCTTGTCTTAAACATCTTAACCAAGCCTCTTCCTACCTCTCAATTCAATATCTTGTGTTTGAGTCTCACTGTCCTTTCAGTCCAGTTCAACTCGTGGGGGAGTATTGAAGCCCAACACAAACCGAGCCCAACATTGAAACAAAACCCATAACCGAGAGTGGGATGCTGGCACAATTCTTCTCTTCTTCATTTTTTACTTTTGCTTTACACGTGTAATACCTGTACTGGATAGCGACCTCTATATATTGGGACATTACTGTTCATAGACATATAATCAATACACACGTTACTTACTCTTCTCCTTACGTGTCTCCGTTGCCTTATTTTCATTGGGTTATGCTACCTTGTTTTCACTTCGACTCTAATACTATCCAAGAATTTTGTGCACGATCATGTAAGGCAAGATTGAAGATGAATTGATGTGTTTTATTTGGGGAATGGGTAACCCTGTGAAGTTATCTTGCCACTGGAAAAAAGCTCTCAGATGAGGAAATTTTCTAAGAGAAGCCACCGGCAATGCGGAAAATGTCAGAGTCGGAGTCAGAGTCTGATATCAGTTCACAATGATCTTCACCTCAGTGTTGCTGAGATCATGGGAGAAATGGATCCGTGGGCCGATTCCGGTTTTGGGTGTTTCAGAGCACGTATCATGAAGATATTTTTTAGATCATGGGAAAAGCTTTTTAACTTGTATATAAAAATCAATTGGGTTCCTAATCAGAATTTTAATAAATAAATCTGGTAGGAGCATCGGGCCAGGGACAAATGGGAAAAGCAAAGGAGGAAGAAGAAGCTATCATGAGGTATTATTGCCATGGTGTAATTTATTATGTCCTATGAAGAGATGCCACATGATATTATGGAGTTAAACATGATGATTTAACTGTCAAATATAACATTTTAAACAGTTGGAGTAACATTGCTACATTTTTAATACTTTCATGGCGATAGAGCTAAAAAAAAACTTCCTGATACTCACAACACCTAGACAACAACTTTCAGAGCAAAATTGGATCTTATCCCTCAAAATTATAATGAATCCTACTAAACTATTACCCAAAACAGAGAGACAAAATTGATGAGTGTGAAAGCATCTTTAATGTATATGCCCAAATTAATGGTGGAAAGCAACATTATCATCCATAAGAGTGGAAATAGGCCAGACGGCCTGTCGGGAGCCTATGGCCTGGCCTATTTAGATATCAGAATAGGTTCATGCCTGTAAAAAGGCCTATTTACTTTATTAGGTTAAGCTCAAGCCTGATAGTTGGCCTGTTAAGCCTGTCAGGCGGCCTGGGCTTGTTATCTTTTTTTTTTCAAGGTTAAAATTGTAAATGGACAGGAGGGAATCTTTTATTTTGATTGGTTAATTGAGAAAACTCCATCCACATAAACGTGTTATCCAGAGCTTGTTACATGTTTCATTTCATTTCCATTCTCTATAATAAAAATAAGTGGTGTATGTATAATGACAAAATTTGAACAGAAAAAGAAAACATAAGTACATTAAAAAAAAAAAAAGCATCATTCATTTTTTTTATTCATGCTTTTTATATTAATCTTATATAGAATATATATATATATATAATTGACCTATTATGTTTTAGATCATATATATATGTGCTCAATCTAATTCTTATTATAATAGTTGCTTAATTAATTTAAATAAACAAATAAATTATAATAAATGTAACATATTTTTTTAAAAAAACAATTATGTGTAACAACAGGATCAAATATCATTTTGTTAGTAAATTAGTTTGAACAAATGATAAATTTAAAATATAAAAAGGGTTAAGGAAGTTTCATATTTTAAACTAGATCTAGTCATCAACTAATTTTTATACTAGAGATAGGATGAAGTGATATTTTTATACCAGAGTAAAATTATGTTTTCTAATAATTTTTCATATTTGATTTTTTTTTTGGGGCCTAAGGGGACATATTTTACAAATTGTGTTAATTTGATAATTTCATATTTTCTGTTTGTATTTTAAATAAATTGGGTTGAATTATTGTAATTTTGAATTGATTTATGTGTATTTAAAATTTGTTAAAAAAACAGGCTTCTTAACAGACTATAGGTCAGGCCAGGCCTGATTACAAGCCAGGCTCAAGCTGATTAAAAGGCTTTTCACAGGCCGTAGGCCAAACTCAAGCCAACAGACCTCACCACAGGTTAGGCCTATTAAGAGTTAGACCTAGCCTGGCCTGTTTCCATCCCTAATCATCTAGCACCAATATCATAAATTAATGAACTATTTAATTTTTTAATTATTTTTTTGATGGTGAGTGTCAAACAGGGAAAGCATTTTTATGTATTCAAATTGTCAAAAGAAGCAGACCATCATCTCTGAAAAGTTATTTTTAATTAATATTATCAACTTTTAAAAGTTAAATGTATGTCGTTTTCCCTCCGAAATGAGCGTTCTCGTTCTCCCTTAGTCGTCTTTATGTAACGTAGGTCCTGTTTCTTGTCAACAAAGAATGCGCCCCCCATCTCTACATCAAATTTGTCTGTCTCTATATATATAAAAGGGTCAACTATATATAAAACGAAGAAAACTACATGCTTTGGATATGGACATAAAATCTCTGGTTAAATAACACGCTTGTTGTTTGAGAAGATAACATTTGACTATAAAGCAATCAAGTCAACAAATCAAATATTTATTTGATTTTTATTTTCTTTTTGGGGCAAGGCAAATGGAGAAAACACGCCTAAGCCAATTTGCCATTTTATTTAAATTATTGAACTTGCTTTCTCATAACGAAGGCTCCTCGTATTGATAAGGAAGCTCCCAGGAACCTTGTTCTTCGCTTAAAACTGCATTGCTGTCTACCCGGACATCACTTTTGCTCTTAGTTTGCCAGAGATAAGGTTTGATCTATCCAGGTACGATGATCTTCTTCCTCGTCTCTGTAAAATTTACATCTTCAAACTATTCATGCATCAGTACATGCGTATCAGGAAAAGCCATAATGTTCCTAATGAGTTCCATATATATGGTTCATGGTTGTGTTCTTGCTCTGTTTCACCATCTTTCATTTCCACTTGTTTGAATTTTATGATGAAGCAGGATCAATATTATGTTAAATTTTAAATAAAAGTTTCTGTGAGATGGTGAATCTTAATCATATATTCTGAATTTCCCTCTTCTACAATTAATCTTGATAAAATAGTCTCAATGACACTGGGACACTCATGTCTGGATTTTAGATCTTGTTCCTTGAAATCTGATCCACTTGTTATAGGTTTAGCTAATAAGTCCTTCAACCCGTTTCAGATTATAATTAGTAGTATTGTTACTTCTGAGATGCTCAACTATTGCTTGTCAGAGGAGAACTTTGAACTTTTCTCCGCCCAGTCACTTACCTTTATTTAATTTATTTCCTGTTTATTGGTCTGAATTGTAGTTGTTAATGACCTATGCTCTTCTTCTCGCGTTGACATCGCCATGCTAGATAGAAATTAAATTCACATGGGAGTAGACATATAATATTTGAGCAGTTATATGTTTATTAGAATGTTATAAACGGGAGCTTGAGGGGAGAGATTAGCATCAAATTTATTAGGAATGATTAACACCCTATGGTTTTTTTTTTGGCTAAAGTATACATTTGGTTTTTTAATTTTATAAAAGGTTTCAATTTGGTCCCTTAACTTTAAAAAGTATACTTTTAGTTCTTTAACCCTAAAATTTTTAGACTTAAATGATATTTTTTGTGACAATCATGGTTGTTTTGAATATTAAACTTAATATGTTAGCATTTAGTAATATTTTATCAACATTCAACAACTCAATATCATCATTTGTTGTTAACAATTTTGAGGTTAGATGACTAAAAGTTTACTTTTTAAAGTTAAGGGACCAAAGTGAAACATTGTGTAAAGTTAAATGACTAAAAGTATACTTTAGCCTTTTTTTAAATATCCAGTAATGGCAACATTTATGACTTCTTCCAAAGTTCGGCAGGAAAAATATGATGTTTTTGTTAGTTTTAGAGGTTCAGACACTAGATGTGGATTTCTTAGCCATTTGAGAAAGCAGTTACAACTCAAAGGGATAAATGTGTATGACGATGAGAGGTCAAAGAGAGGAGATAAAATATCATCTGCACTTTCGGAAGCAATACAAAAATCAAGAATTGCGCTCGTGATATTCTCAAAAGACTATGCTTATTCAGGATGGTGCTTAGAAGAGCTAGTGATAATCATGGAATACAACCGAGTCAATAATCAGATTGTAATTCCAGTTTTCTATGATATAGACCCATCACATGTTAGGCATAAAAAAGGATCTCATGAAGATGCATTTGTTCAGCATCATAATAACTACAAAGTTGATTTAAGGAAGTAGCAAGTTTGGAGATCAGTCTTGGAAGAAACTGCAAATCTAGGTGGTTATCATAATTCCTCAAAATTTAAGTAAGATGTTTCCTCTTTCTATTTATTATTACATAAATCTTGTCACAGTTTATGAATTATATATGTTTCCCATAGACATTCAAAGATAATTATATCTATGCTTGTATTATTGATAATTATATCTATGCATGTATGATTTTTAACAATGTACTGTGTGATTTTTTAAAAACAATTTCTTTCTTTTAACATGTCAGGAATGAATCTGACCTTATTGATGAAATAATCAAAGATGTATCGAAAAAGCTAGAAGGTAAAGACACAATGGAGCCAAAGCACCTTATTGGAATTGAGAAAGATTTGACTGATATTGAATTATTTATGAAAGATGAATCACACAAAGTTAGAGTTCTTGGAGTTTGGGGTAAAGGAGGAATAGGCAAAACCACCTTAGCTTGTGCCGCGTTTGATAAATTTTACCACCGATTTGGTAGGTCTTACTTTACTGAAGATGTGAGAGAGGAATCAAAAAAGAATGGAATAAATTGTTTGGTTGAAAAAATTCTCTCTATTCTTCTAGATGAAAAAAGGCCGAGAATGATTGGAATGCCTAATATTCAGAGGAGCCTACGTAGAACAAGAGTTCTTCTAGTTCTTGATAATGTAGACACCTCAAGTCAATTACTTTCTCTTATTGAAGAAAATCTTCTATTAGGACCAAGTAGCAAAGTCATCATAACAAGCAGAGACAAGCATGTTTTTGTTAGTGGAGGAGTTCATGAAGTACATAAGGTGGAAGAATTAAAAAGGGAAGAATCGCTTCAACTTTTTTGCTGGCATGCTTTCAAGCAAGGCCATCCCAAACAAGGATATGAAGAGTTATCAGTGCAGGTAATTGACTGTGCAAAAGGTCTTCCTCTGGCATTAAAAGTTTTGGGTTCATATTTGAACTCTAGAAATACAAAAGCATACGTGAGTGCCCTTAAAACATTGAGAAAGTATCCAAATAGGGAAATTCAAATTGTACTAAGGGTAAGCTATGATGGACTTGATATACCAGAACAGAGGATATTTTTAAATATTGCATTCTTCTTCAGGAGAGAAAAGAAAGAAGATATTATGAGAGTGCTAGATGCTTGTGATGATGACCTCTATGTGGATATTGGAATGGATAGGCTTCTAAAGAGAGCACTCATAACAATTTCAAGTGACAGCAGAGTAGAAATTCATGATCTGCTACAAGAAATGGCTGAAGAAATAGTTCGTGAGGAATCTAGAGAGCATCCTGAAAGTCGAAGTCTATTAAATGATGACAAAAGAAGTTCAAGATATACTGGAAAATAACAAGGTAAATGAAGGATGCTTTAACTTCCTTTTTCATTCATTAAATTATTTCATTGAAGAATTTTTACTCGCCACTTGTTTGATTTATTATTTGCATTTTGTTATGTTCTAGTGAACTGATATAATTGAAGGCATTGCATTAAACCCATGTGAGTTAGAAAGGGACATACACTTGAGTGCTGACGCTTTTAGTAGAATGAGTAATTTAAGATTTCTCAAGATTGGTCTTAATTTTCAAGGCAAATATAAAGTGCTTTTTCCTTTTGGTCTAGAGTCACTTCCTAATAAACTAAGATATTTTTGTTGGAAAGATTATCCATTGGAGACTCTACCACTTGGTTTTTGTGCAGATAAACTTGTTGAAATCCATATGCATCGTAACGATGCTGTAAAACTATGGGATTGTGTGCAGGTATGGCTATGTATTAATGTACGTTTCATTCTTTAGTCTAATTGAATTATGAGGGCTTTTTTGGTAACTTTTCTCTTTTAATTGTCACAGGATCTTATGAATTTGAAGATAATAAATCTTGCCTATTCGCGGAAGTTAAAGGAATTGCTTGATTTCTCCATGGCACAAAATCTTGAAATAATGAACCTCTGAAATTGTGAAAGTTTATGCAGTTTCATCCATCAATCTTGTCTCTTCCTAAACTTTTTTCTTTGAATCTAGTGGCGTGCTGCAAACTGAAGAATCTTCATGGGGATAACCATTTGAAATCTCTCAAGGAACTCAAGATGACGTTCTGCTTTGCTCTCGAGGAATTTTTGTTGTCATCAGAAGAAATGAGAAGTTTACATTTGGAATATATAGGTATCAAAACATTAAACTTGCAAGTTGGACCGTTCAATAAACTTGAAGAGCTACGTCTCAGTAGGCCTCTCAGGGGCTTTCAAGTAAATGAGCGAAGTTGCTTGACACCTCTTAAAAGATTCTCTCTTTATCGTTTTGGAGGAAGAATAGAGAAATCAAAATCACTCATTCTGTTTGATGCCTGGTGCTCGTTAGAAGAATTGAGGTTGACATACTAAGAGATTTCTGAGCTCCCTGACAATATCAGTGTCATGTCATTGTTGAAGATTCTATCACTACAAGAAAGCAGCGTTAAGAGTTTGCCAAATAGCATCAAGCATCTTTCAGAGCTTAGAGAACTTCATTTGAGTGAATGCAGGAGGCTTAGGTCCTTACCAGAACTTCCACCTTCTCTTACTTATTGTTATCTTGATGAATGCCAGCCACTGGAGACCTTTGGTTTCGCACTGATGCGAGCAATACAAAACTCTAGTGAGGTTAGATTTTGTTATCCCGGAAGCATAATCCCAGGGGGCTTCAAATATTCTCAGACCGCTAAGAGGTCCATTAGTATTGATCTTACACCAGCTTCTTCTGACCATTTATTGGGTTTCGCTTCTTATTGTATTGTTTCCGCATCGCTGATCGACTATTTACCACTAGTCTATAGAAAATTCCACTTTGAAGATGAAAAGATCTATTACAGGTGTGACAGCAAACTCCGTTACCTCAGGTATATGAGTACAGATCATGTTTTGTTATGGTACGATCCAGTGGATCACGTGTTGAGGGAAAACCAAAAAAGGTGATTTAATGAGGGTGCCACTTGCAAGTTTACATGTGAATTCTCCATTGGAGATTCCCTTATCATCTGCCCAAATATGATCGCGTAATAAAAAGTTGCTGAATTTGGCCAATATATGCATCAGAAACACAGGAGAAAATGGAATTAATGCTGGAGATGGATGCTGTTACAAGCAGTACCAGCCAGCACCCTAATGCTGAAGGGTCCCAACATCATCCAGCACGTGATTTTGTTAGGAGAAGCACTTGTGTGCGCCAGGGGACAGGGAACTTGAGCACGATGCCCACTCTTTGAGAACCAAGAGATGTCGAAATGAGCTAACGGCCCCAAAGGATAACCAAAGAATCACTTGATGATGCAATTCCAGTTCCAACAATTTTTTTTAGTTCTTTATAGCCTCCAACTATGCATGAAAAGAATTCTTTGTTCTCAATGTGACTGGCCTTTGGGTCTCATGCCCATCATCCATTAAAATAATAAATAAATATTACTCTTCTGATCCTTAATATAAAACCTATTTAGCCAATATGATTAGATTAAGAAAGTTAGATAAATTAGTTAATTATAAAAAATATGACATGTTTTTTCTAAAACGTCATAATTATCTTCTTTAATATCCTTTCTCTTTTTTTTAACTTGATTATGGTTGAGAGAGTATCAATATGGGATAATTTAGAAAAAAAATGATAAATAGGTCTTATATTTAAGAACAAAATCAACTTAACAATTAGGTCTTATATTAAGGACTGAAAGAGTAGAAAAATCTCCAAACTAAGCTACTATATATATATATATGTATGTAACTATCTATAATTTCTATCCACAAGCACCTGCAACCAAAAATTGTAGAGATCATGGATTAATTGATTTTTAATTCCTTTAGTATGCCTTAGTTCCGTGCTCTCCAAATTCTGGTTTCTTACCAAGAAGTTGATGCTATGGCTCCACTGGCAGTAAATATTGTGTATACATATAGATATTAACAATGCATAACAGTAGGGATTTTGGTCTTCTTCATAGCTGGTCAATTTCCAAGGTCCACGTGATTTTTTGCTTTGCTCTTTACTAATGTTCACGATATCATATAAGTCCGAATTGCATTCATGCACATCTTGGAATTAGAGACAAACCTTGTACAGAATAAAACTTAGAATGAAAAGAAATATAGATGCCATATATATGACGTATTTCACCTGTTTAACTTTACATGTCATATAATATTGGTTCGGTGGGCCAATCCAATTATGAACAGAGCATGTGAAGCCTGTTTTTAATCATCGACAGGTCTAGGAGGATCCAGGCGTGCGACATGAATGTAACCATCATCACCCTCATTTTACCACTTGGTCATCAAGTGAAAAGCTCTGAATCATTTGAGTTGTTAATTAAGGTGTTGTTTCTTGTCTTTTTCCTGGTGATTTGTTTCTGGTTTCTCTGCAATGCCACAGGTGGAAAATATGACAGTGCGGGAATGACAAGAATGATATGTGATTGTGAACCATTAGGATAATATGCCAAATTTGGTGGTTATGATTGTATTTGGCTTTCCTACTTTGTTTACTAACTTCAGAAAGTCAACTGATGTTTCTACTCAGAAATTTTTGGCTCTCATCTCAATCTTTCACCGCTTGCTCTGAAACCTTAACTTCACCACCACAGTACCGTCCTGTTTACTACAGTCACCCTTCATCATCTTCTTCGTTGGCCTTGGATCGTGGTTCTTTCCTCGTCGTGGGCTCATTTGTTTCTTGTTCGTTGTAATCCTTTTCCTAATCCCCATCCCGAATCCCAATCCTAGAGTGTATTGTTATTGGCAATGATATTTTGGATCTTCATTTGGTGATTATCTCAGAAGCTTGTTGTACCGTCTTTTTCTAAATACATAACATTCTCTGAAACTCGGGAGAAAGAATCTCTTTTAACGTATTGATTCGCTTAATGTTAGTTTTTGATTCTAGTCTTTTGTTTTCTTGTTGTGTTTTTCTTCAAGTTACAACCTTATTAACCAATTAATTTGGTTTTAAGAAGTACCTACCATTTAAAAACAGGGGAGCTCTTCGACTTCACTGGATGTCCTGTACAAATTATTGGCTTGGTTTACCAATGCTTTATAAACTGAGTCTGTCCAAGAATTTTGTGTGCCAACATGTAAGGCAAGACTGAAGATGAATTGATGTGTTTTATTTGGCGAACGGTTAACCCTGTGAAGTGATCTTGCCATTGGAAAAAGGCTCGTCGGCTGAAGAGATTTTCGGGGAGAAGGCACCGGCGATGCAGAAAATGGTGTCGGAGTCGGAGTCTGATGTCGGTTCACTATAACCATCGTCGGTGTTGTTCAGATCATCGAAGAAATAGATTCGTGGGCCGATTCCAGTTTTGGGTGTTTCAGAGCACGCATCATGAAGATATTTTTCAGATGATGGGAAAAGCTTTTGGTTTCCTAGTCGGAATTTTATGAAATAAATCTGGTAGGAGCACTGGGCCGGGGAGTAATGGGAAAAGCAAAGGAGGAGGAGGAAGCTGTCTTGAGGTATTATTGCCACGGTGTAATTTATGATGTCATATGAAGAGATGCCACATGCATATTATGGAGTTAAACATGGTGATTTAACGGTCAAATATAACATTTTAATACTTTTAGGATCATATTGCTACATTTTTAATACTTTTCGGATGATATTGAGTTAAAAAAACTTTCTGATACCCAAGACTCTTGAGCAACAACTTTAAGAGCAAAATTGAACCTTATCTCCAAAATTATAATGAGTCCTACTAAACTATTGTCCAAAACAGAGAGACTAAAGTGATGGGTGTGAAAGCATCTTTAATGTATATGCCCAAATTGGTGGTGGAAAGCAACATCATCCTCCAATACCAATATCATAAATTAATGAACTATTCATTTTTTAAATTATTTTTTTGATGGTGAGTGTGAAACAGGGAAAGCATTTTTATGTATTCAAATTGTCAAAAGAAGCAGACCATCCTCTCTGAAAAGTTATCTTTAAAAGTTAAGGGTATCGTTTGCCCTCCGAAATGAGCGTTCTTGCTCTTCCTTGGTCGTCTTTATGTAAAGCAGGTGCTGTTTCCTCTCATCATATATGAAAGAATACGCCCTCCATCTCCATATCAAATGTGTTTGTGTCTATATATATATATATATATATAAGGGTCAATTATATATAAAACGAACAAAATTATACAACTTTGGTTCATAAAATAGTCCGGGGAATAAGCAATTAACAAAACATTGTTATATGAAAAAATGACTGGAAAGAGATTGAAATGTTTCTCGAATAGATATCATTTTCCAACGTGTCACTGACCTTTGAGTAAATGAGAACATCATTGAACAAATTTTTCTTGGATGTAACAGACACTAATGTAATTCGAGGATAATTAATGTTGAGGCAACTTGAATAACCCAATGTAATATTAATCTCCAACAAAATATGCCAGAAGAAGGTGATCATCAAAACATTGCAGTTTCACCTATGATCAAAGTAATAAATTTTTGCAACACACGTGTGATACTCGTCTAATCCTATTTATAAGTCACTTTTAACATGTTTCATATAGACAAAAAAAAATTTAAACTTTATTAACTTTCATTTATCCAACAACTTTTTAATTTTATCCTTATTTAATATACATTATACCTCATATAAACAAAGTCAACATAATAATAAATAAAAGGTAAAATTGTACATCCACATAAAAATTCTCTTAAGTACCCTATAAATAGAATAAAAAATATATTCTCTCTCGGTCCTATAAATAGGACTAGAGGAGTACCATATAATCTTAATAATGGGGGCAATTTAGGAAGGTTGATTTAAATGTGTATAAAGAATGGTGATTTTGATTATGAAACAGCGCAAAAAAAAAATCTATTAATTTTGGATGGAGTAGTTTTAATTATTTTACATATATTAAAGGAGTTTTTTAAAATTGGTTTAAAAAAAAAAAAAGGGTCAGTTATTTTTAATTTGTATCAGGTCACAGGTACCGAGCACTGACATCTAGTATGGCCCACATTTGGATGCGAACATAAAATCTCCGGACTACCAGCTAATTAAATTACACGCTTGTTGTTTGAAAAGATAGCATTTGACTATAAAGCAGTCAAGTCAACAAATCAAATATTTATTTGATTTTTATTTTCTTCTTGGAGCATGACAAATGGAGGAAACGCGCATAAGCTAGCCATTTTAAATCAAATATTTGTTTCGTTGATCATTATGGAAGAACATTGTTACTATTGTCCTAAAATTAGCTACTGTAAATTTGTGAATTGAGACTTCAATTTGTTGCTTATGTTATAAGTGGCGGATTGTCAAATTTCCACTACATTTGGATCTCCATGGCCATTCATTGTGCCGGTGAGATCTTCTTCCACTCTAAACCAATTCACTAGCCCAAGAAGACACGTTAAAAAGTATTTATACCTTTGTACTTCCACTCTCTTGAGGAATGTGTGACTTATGTTTATTTTGACACACCAAGACATATACACCAGCTCCAACAAGGAAGACGAACTTCATGGACGATGGTCACACTTCAACGTCGCCTTACTAAGTAAGCAATAAAAGAAAACCTTAAGTTCATGAGAAACAAAGGGGAAAAAAGAAGACAAGAAGCAGAAAGAGCAAAGGCATTTTAATACGTCATTTTAAGAGATTACCCAAGAAGTTAAAATAAATAATAAAATATTTTGTATAGTCACCAAAAAGTTAAAATAAATAAGTCATTACTCTTACATTGGATATAATACGATGTAACCATCATTACCTGCATTTTTCTTGCTTAGGTTTTGGTTCTGCTTTATCTGCAATATCACAGGTAGGAAACTATTACAGTGTGGGAATGACAAGAATGATACGTGATTGTCAGTCACTTGGATAATATATGCCAAACTTGCTGGTTATGTTTGTCTTTAATGGGCTTTCATGCTTTTGATTGCAGACTTTAGAAAGTCATTAAATCTGATTTTCTCAAGTAATAACATTGGTTTTGTCCCATTTCAAATTCAAAAACTAGAGATAAAAGTGATGTATTTATAGAGATCAAGGATGGAACTTCCGAAAAATTGTTTTCATATGCAACAAAAAGCATTTTTGCTGGAATTTGAAACGAAGTAATTGAGAAGTTAAATTAATTTACAATAATTTTTGAACAATTGATGGACGCATGGAAAGAATCCTTACAAAGAGCATCCCAACTTTTCACAGGGATCAAAAGTAACAGTAAAAATTTAAAATTATCATCAAATCGATCAAAAACCAAGTTTACTTTTCATTTCTCAATGTGAATGCGAAATAGAACTAACAAACCATTCAATATCAAAACTGTATGCATGGACTTTGCATGGAAGCGTGTGAAACAGGAAAAATGATTTAATTTAAAATTGTTGGATATAATATAATTATATCCAAAACAATAAAGGAAAAAAAAAAGTCCTGCTAAACCATTGCCCAAAACAGACACTAACTAAAAGCATAATGATTTTGGAAAACACCGCGATGGGTGTGAAAGCATCTTTCATGTGCCCAAATCGTCAAAAGCAGCACACTCCTCCAACACCAATACCATAAATTAATGAACGAATTTAATTCTAATTATTTTTTGATAGTGACTGTGAAACAGGGAAGCATTTTTATGTACTCAAATTGTCAAAAAAAGCAGACCATCTTCTGAAAAAGTTATTTTTAAGTAATATTATCAACTTTTAAAAGTTAAAAGTATGCCGTCTCGTCTTTATGCAAGTAGGTCCTGTTTCTTGTCAACATATATAAAAGAATTAATGCGTCCCCCATCTCTGTATCAAATATATATATATATACACACACACGTACGTAAGGGTCAATTATATATAAAACGAAGAAAATTATACAACTTTAAGCTCGTATAATGCAGTCCAGGGAATAACCAATTAATAAAACGTTAGTTATATAGAAAGAATGACAGGAAAAAGATTGAAATATTTATTGAATAGATGTCATTTTCCAACGTGTCACTGAACTTTGAACAAATGAGGAGATTATTGAACAAATTCTTTCTTGCATGTGATTCAAGGATAGTGTTGAGGCAACTTAAATAACCCAATGTAATATGAATCTGTAACAGAACATGCGAAGAAGATGATTATCAAAAAATTGCAGTTTCACTTATGGTCAAAGTAATCGATTTTTGCAACACAAATATTATACCATCTAATCTTAATAATGGGGGCAATTTAGGAACATTGATTTAATTGTGTACAGAGAATGGTGATTTTGATTATAAAACAGCGCAAAAAATCTGTTAATTTTTCGTAATAATACAGGACAGATGGAGTACTTTTTATTATTTTACGTAAACTAAAAGAATTTTTTTAACATTAATAAAATAAATGGGTAGTTATTTTTAATTTGTATCAAATCACAGGTACCGAGTAGCGACATTTTAATATGGCCTACATACTTAGGACGCGAACATAAAATCTCTGGACTACCAGCCAGAGAAGATGACATTTGACTATAAAGCAATCAAGTCAACAAATCAAAACGCGCATAAGCCAATTTGTCACCTTAAATTATTGAACTTGCTTTTTAATAACGAAGACTCCTCGTATTGATAAGGAAGTTTCCCAGAAACTACCTTCTTTGCTTAGAAACTGCATTGCTGTCTACTCAGACATCACTTTTGCTCCTAGTTTGCCAGAAATAAGGTTTGATTTATCCAGGTATGATGATCTTCTTCCTCATCTGTAAAATGTATATATTCGAATTATTCATGCATGTGTACATACGCATCAGGAAGAGCCATAATGTTCCTAATGAGTTCCTTATGATTGTGTTCTTGGTTCTTGCTCTGTTTCACCATCGTTCATTTCCACTTTTTTGAATTTTATGATGAAGTAGGATCTACATTATATTAAATTTTAAATAAAAGTTTCTGTGAGATAGTCAATCTTAATCATATATTCTGAATTTTCTCTCTTATCCAATTAATCTTGATAAAATAGTCTCAATGACAACGGGGACGCTCACAACTGGATTTTAGATCTTGTTTCTTGAAATCTGATCCACTTGTTTTAGGTTTAGCTACCAAGTCCTTCAAGCCATTTCAGATTATAATTAGTATTGGTAATTCTGAGATGCTCAGCTATTGTTTGTCAGGGGAGAACTTTGGACTTTTGTCCGCCTAGTTACGTACCTTTATTTCATTTATTTCCTGTTTATTGGTCTGAACTATAATTGTTAATGAGCTATCCTGTTCTTCTCGCGTTGGCATCGCCGTGCTAGATAGAAATTGAATTCACTTGGGAGTGGACATATAATATTTGAGCAGTTATATGCTTATTAGAATGTCATAAACGGGAGCTTGAGGGGAGAGATTAGCATCAAATTTGTTAGGAATAATTAACACCCTATGGTTTTTGTCTATATCCAGTAATGGCAACTTTTACCACTTCTCCCAGCGTTGGGCAGGAAAAATATGATGTTTTTGTAAGTTTTAGAGGTCCAGACACCAGACTTAGATTTGTTAGCCATTTGAGAAAGCAGTTTCGACAAAAGGGGATAGAGGTTTATGTTGATGAGACGGCAGAGAGAGGAGATACAATATCACCTGCACTTTCGGAAGCAATAGAGAGATCAAGAATTGCGCTGGTGATATTCTCAGAAAACTATGCCTCTTCAAGGTGGTGCTTAGAAGAGCTAGTGAAAATCATGCAATGCAGGCGAGACCATAGTCAGACTGTAATTCCAGTTTTCTATGATATAGACCCATCACATGTTAGGCATCAAAGAGGGTCTTATGAAGATGCATTTGTTCAGCATCATAACTGCAAAGTTGATTCAAGGAAGTTGCAAGATTGGAGATCGGTTTTGAAAGAGACTGCAGACATATTTGGTTATCATAATTCCTCAGATTTTCAGTAAGATGTTTCCTCTTTCTATTTATTATTATATAAATCTTGCCACAGTTTATGAATTATATATTTTTCCCGTAGACATTTAAAAATAATTATATCTATGCTTGTATTATTGATAATTAAATCTATGCATGTATGATTTTTAACAATGTACCGTGTGATTATTTTAAAAACAATTTCTTTCTTTTAACATGTCAGGAATGAATCTGACCTTATTGATGCAATAATCGAAGATGTATCAAAAAAGCTAGAAGGTAAAGACACAATGGAGCCAAAGCACCTAATTGGAATTGAGAAAGATTTGACTGCTATTGAATTATTTATAAAAGATGAATCGCACGAAGTTAGAGTTCTTGGAATTTGGGGGCAAAGGAGGAATAGGCAAAACCAGCTTAGCTCGTGCCGCATTTGGTAACTTTTACCACCAATTTGATAGGTCTTGCTTTGCCGAAAATGTGAGAGAGAAATCAAAAACGATTGGAACGAATTGTTTGCTTGAAAAAATTCTCTCTGTTCTACTAGATGAAGAAAAGCTCACAATGGTTGGAATGCCTAATGTTCAAAGGAGGCTACGTAGAACAAGAGTTCTTCTAGTTCTTGATGATGTAGACACGCTTCTTCAATTAAAATATCTTATTGAGGAAAATCTTTCATTGGGACCAGGTAGCAAAGTCATCATTACAAGTAGAGATAAGCATGTTCTTATTAGTGGAGGAGCTCATGAAGTACATGAGGTGAAAGAATTAAATAAGGAAGAATCGCTTCAACTTTTCTGCCGACATGCTTTCAAGCAAGGCCATCCCAAACAAGGATATGAAAAGTTATCAATGCAGGTAATTGAATATGCAAAAGGTCTTCCTCTGGCATCAAAAGTTTTGGGTTCATATTTGAACTCCAGAAATACAAAAGCATGGGAGAGTGCCCTTAAAAAATTGAGAAAGTATCCAAATAAGGAAATTCAAAATGTATTGAGGGTGAGCTATGATGGACTTGATACACCAGAAAAGAAAATATTTTTAAATATTGCATTCTTCTTCAGTGGAGAAAAGAAAGAAGATATTATACAGGTGCTCGATGCTTGTGATGATGACCTCTACGTGGACATTGGAATAGATAGGCTTCTAGATAAAGCACTCATAACTATTTCAAGTCACAGTAGAGTAGAAATTCATGATATGCTACAAGAAATGGCCGAAGAAATAGTTCGTGAGGAATCTCGAGAGCATCCTGAAAGTCGAAGTCGATTAAATGATGCAAAAGAAATCCAAGATGTACCGGAAAATAACAAGGTAAATGAAGGATGCTTTAACTTCATTTTTTGTTCATTAAATTATTTCGTTGAAGAGTTTTTACATGCCACTTGTTTAATATATTATTTGAATTTTGTTATGTTCTAGGGAACTGATACAATTGAAGGCATTGCATTGAACCCAGATGAGTTAGAAAGCAACATACACTTGAGTGCTGACGCTTTCAAAAAAATGAGTAATTTAAGATTTCTCAAGATTGGTTTTCGTTTAGGCAAATCAGTGCAACTTCTTTTTGGTCTGGAGTCACTCCCTAATAAATTAAGATATTTTTGTTGGGAGCGTTATCCTTTGAAGACTCTACCACTGGGTTTTTGTACAGACAAACTTGTTGAAATTCAAATGCCTTGGAGCAAAGTTGTAAAACTATGGGATGGTGTGCAGGTATGGCTATATATTAATGAATGTTTCATTCTTCAGTCAAATTAATTGAATTATGAGGAATTTTTTCAGTAACTCTTCCCTTTTAATTGTAACAGAATCTTATGAATTTGAAGATGATAAATCTTTCCTCTTCCTACGAGTTAGAGGAATTGCCTGATTTCTCCATGGCACAAGATCTTGAAATAATGGATCTCAGTTATTGTAAAGGATTATGTCGTATTCATCCATCAATCTTGTCTCTTCCTAAACTTGTTTCTTTGAATCTAGCGGGGTGCATCGAACTAAAGAATCCTCACGGTGATAACCATTTGAAATCTCTCAAGGAGCTCAAGTTGATGTTGTGCCCTGCTCTCAAGGAATTTTTGTTGTCAGCAGAAGAAATGAGAAGTTTACATGTGAAAAGTAAAGGTATCAAAAAGCCAATCTTGCCAGTTGACCGGTTATTAAGCTTTCCATTTGGATGGTTCAATAATCTTGAAGAGCTATGTCTCAATAGACTTCTCAGGAGCTTTCAAGTAAATGAGCTAGGTAGCTTGACATCTCTTAAAGTATTCTCTCTTGATGGTTTTAAAGGCAAACTAGACAAATCAAAATTAGTCATTCTATTTGATGCCTTGCCTTCTTTAGAAGAACTATATTTGACGTACTGCAGGATTCGTCAGATCCCTGACAATATCAGTGCCATGTCATTGTTGAAGATTCTATCACTACAAGGAAGTAGCGTTATGGGTTTGCCAGATAGCATCAAGCATCTTTCAGAGCTCAGAGAAATTGATTTGGGTAAATGCAAGATGCTTAGGTCCTTACCAGAACTTCCACCTTCCCTTGCTTATTGTTATCTCAACGAATGCCAATCATTGGAGACCTTCGGTTTCTCATTGATGCGAGCAATACATAACTCTAGTGAGCTTAGATTTTGTTATCCCGGAAGCACAATCCCAGGGGGCTTCAAATTTTCTCAGACCACTAAGGGCTCCATTAGTATTAAGCTTGCACCAGGTTCTTCTCACCATTTGTTGGGTTTCGCTTCTTGTTGTATTATTTCCCCATCGAGGCTCAAATCTTTGCCACTAGTTGGTAGAAAATTCCACTATGAAGATGAAGAGATCTATTACAAGGTTGACGACAAACTCTCTCGCCACGAGTTTTGGAGTACAAATCATGTTTTGCTATGGTATGATCTAGTGGATCGTATGTTGAAGGAAAACCAAAGAAGGCGATTTGATGAGGGCGCCAATTGCGAGTTTGCATGTGAATTCTTCCACAGAAGTTTCGTCGGTCCTCATGTGGCAAAATATAATAACAGGATAAAAGGGTGCGGAATTTGGCCAATACATGCATCAGAATTGCAGGGGAAAATGGAATTAAGGCTGGAGATGGATGCTGTTACAGACAGTACCAGCCAGCACCCTAATGCTGAAGTGTCCCAACATCAGCCAGCACGTGATTCCGTTAGGAGAAGCACTTGTGTGCGCCAGAGGACAGGGAACTTGACCACTCTGCCTTACTCTGAGAGCCAAGAGATGCCGAAATGAGCGCACGGCCCTAAAGGATATCAAAAGAATCGCTTGAGGATGCAATTCCAGGTCCAACAATTTTTTTAATTCTTTATGGCCTCCAACTATGTATGAAAAGAATTCTTTATTCTCAATGTGACTGGCCTTTGGGTCTCATGCCCAGCATCCATTAAAATAATAAATACATATTAGAAAAATCTCTGAACTAAGTTGCTACATATATATGGAACTATCTATAATTTTTATCCACAGGCACGTGCAACCAAAAATTGTAGAGATAATGGATTAATTGATTTTTAATTCCTTTAGTATGCCTTAGTGCCCTGCTCTCCAAATTCTGGTTTCTTACCACGAATGTGATGCTATGGCTCGACTGGTAGTAAATATTGTGTATACATGTAGATATGAACAATGTATAACAATAAGTATTTTGGTCTTCTTCATAGCTGGTCAATTTCTAAGGTCCATGTGATTTTTTGCTCTGCTCGTTACTAATGTTAACGATATCATATCAGTCGGAATTGCATTCATGCACATCTTGGAATTAGAGACAAACCTTGTACAGAATAAAACTTAGAATGAAAAGAAATGTAGATGCCATATATATGATGTATTTCACCTGTTTAACTTTGCATATCATATAATATTGGTTTTGTAGGCCAATCCAACTATGAACAGAGCATGTGAACCCTGTTTTTCATCACCAACAGGTCTAGGAGGATCGAGGCAGTTGACGTGAATGTAACCATCATCACCCTTGTTTTACCAGTTGGTCATCAAGTGAAAAGCTCTGAATCATTTGAGGTGTTAATTAAGGTGTTGTTTCTTGTCTTTTTCCCGGTGATTTGGTTCTGCTTCATCTGCAATATCACTGGCGGAAACTATTACAGCGTGGGAAGGACAAGAATGATTTAAGATTGTGAGCCATTTGGATAATATGCCAAACTTGGTGATCGCGTTTGTCTTTGGCTTTCATGCTTTTGTTTGTTTGACTTCAGAAAGTGAACTGATTTTTTCTACTCAAAATTATTTTGTCAAATCGGATATTATATTTGTTCAGAAGTAGTCTTCATTTTATCTTTCTCACCACTAACAGGTGAGAAAATCATCAAATCTGTTTGTTGTATCTCAGAGCAGCGTAATGATTTTCGTGTTATATGATGATTGAATAAAGTCTCTGTTTTTCCTATCAACACTAGAGATAAAAAGGTGATGTATTTATACATAGAGATCAAGGAAAGCCAATGAAGCTAGTACTGTATCGCCATTATACTTCCAAAAAATTGTTTTCATATGTTTACTGATCGTTAATTTCACCTATTTCTTTGTTTATGGGCTTCGTTTAAGTGAACATTATTTTAAAATAAATTTCTTGGATATTTATTAGTTGTCAATTCCTCAAGTCCTTTTGAGTCTATGAGAAAGCCAAAATGAAAACATGACAGTGTGCATTAAAAAAAAAAAAACCGCATTATTCTTGTTGTTTTCTTACCCCTTGTCACTACAAGTGAAACTAAATTAAGTACTTGGCTGGAATTTATCACGAAAAAATTGAGAAATTAAACTAATTGGACGATAATTTTTGAAGAATTCATGGACACATTATGGGGAAAAAATCCTTGAAAAGAGCACATCAAATTTTGACAAAGTAACATTGAAAATTAAAATTATCATCATTTCAATCGTAAACCAAATTTATTTTTCATTTGTCATTGTGAATGTGAGATATAATTAATAAACGATTCAGTATTGGTCGTAAGTGAGTAAAGTGATTTCATTTAAAATTGTTGGGTGTAATT